GTTCTTGGGTGTAATGTTCTATAAATGTCAATTATTCAGGTTGAGTTATAGTGTGGTTCAAGTCACCTATATCCTTCTAATTTGCTGTCTACTTGTTTTGTCAAGTACTGAGAGGGAGTGATATCATCTCCAACTATGATTATTCATTTGTCCATTTGTCCCTTTTGTTCTTTGTTTTTGCATCATAAATCTTATAGCTGTTACTAGCTGCATACACATTTAAGGTCGTATTTTCCTGATAAATTATACCTTTTGTCATTATGAAATGTCTCTTTTGTCTGTTAATACTTGTTATAGCAAAGTCTACTTCATATATTACTATACCTATAACAGCTTTCTTATGCTGTTTGCATGGTATATCTTTTTCCATCCTATTGCTTTCAACCTCTTTTAATATTTAAAGCACATCTCTAGTATACAGCTTATAGTTGAGTGTCCCTTTATTTTATTTAGTCTGATAATCTCTGGCTTTTAATTGGAGCAATAAATCCATTTACATTTAATTATTGACATGAGCTTAAAACTCCAAGTTTGCTGTTTGTTTCATCCAAATTTGTTCCTTTGTTCCTATATTCCTTCAATTTGGGTTAATCAAGTATATTTTTACTTTTGTCTCTTTTAGCTATAATTCTCTAATTCATGTAAGTCATATGCCACTTAATAATGGGGATAGTTCTGAGAAATGCCCTGTTAGACAATTTCGTCATTGTGTGAACATCATAGGGTGCACTTACACAAACCTAGATGGTATAATCTACAACACACCTAGGCTACATGGGATAGCCTGTTGCTTCTAGGCTACAAGCCTGTACAATATGTTACTGTACAAAACAACACGAGATTAAATAAAACACGAGAGAAAGGGATGCCATCAAGAGAAACAGTAAACACAAGATGTACAAGGCTGCTACTGGTATAGCACAGCATACTGTTTTACAGCAAACTTTTTTGTATAAGTAGAAAGAGTGCACTCTAAAATATATAGTGCAGTTAATACATAAACTAGCAACACATTTATTATTATGATGTACCGTACATGATTGTATGTGCTATACTTTTATATGACTGGCAGTGCAGGTTTGTTTACACCAGCATCACCACAAGCAAGTAATGTGATGAGCTCCAACGTTACAACAGCTATGACATCCATAGGTGATATGGTTTTCAGCTCCATTACAATCTCATGGGACCCCCCTCACATATGCAGACCATCGTTGACCAAAACATTGTCATGAGCTCATGACTATATTCTTTTAGTTATATGCCTCTCTCACATCCGTAAGATATCAGTCTAATTAGAATTATTATACTATATCAGGTAAAATGTAAGATCCTTGCAACCACATAATTCCATCTACCCCAGCCCATCCTTTGTGCTATTGTCATAATTTTTACTTCTGTTATAAACCACATAATACAATGTTATGCTTTATTGTTAAGAAATCAGTTGTCTTTTAAATAAAATTTAAAAATTATAGTCTTTTCTATTTTCCAATCTATTTACCATTTCTGGTGATATTCATTCTTATCAGTAAATAATGGTTTCTAGCTGATGTCATTTCCCTTCTTGCTTCTCCAATGTTAAGGCTTCCAGTGAATTTTTCATTTCAAATATTGTTTTTAAAAATGCTGCGATTTTTGTTGGTTCCTTTTTTCTTTCCATTTCTAGCTGAGAACCTCCATCTATTCATTAACTGTTTTAAGCTCATGTACATATTTCTAATAGTGTCTTTAAAGTCTTTGTCTGCTCATTTCATCATGTGGATTGTTTTAGTGTGTTTTGTAACTTTTTCTCTTGACTATAGGTACTTTCACATGTCTAGTAATTTTTAAAATTTTATACTGGACATTATAGATATGCTGTAGAATCTCTAGAGTCTACCATTTTACACTGGGGTTTTTGCTCTAGCATGCTAATTTACCAGCTACTCATTTTGAATTTATAGCTTTGTTTTACATTGTGGTGGGTCTGTTCAGCTGTGCCTTTAGTGCAAGGTGAATCCCTTAGTCCTAGGTCAGTCTTTCCTGCTAAGGTGTGGCCCTGTAGGGGTTTCAGTGAAAAGCCCTGTTTTCCCTGCCCTTGTAAGTTGGTGAGACTGACTCCAAATTCTGTTTTCCCTCTGGTGGCAGCTGACATGTCTGATGAGCTCTCTCAGCCTTCCAGCTACTGCTTACCTGGGCTCCTTGAAGTCTCCCCTGCATGTTTGTTTCAAGGTCAGCTAAGGATTTGAATGAAGGTTACATACAAATTTTAGCGTTTCCCCTTTGTGTCCTTTCTTTCTGAAATTTCCCCCTCAATATCATCACTCTGGCAGCTCCAGAGCCCCTCTTCTAATTCAATGACTATGGCTTTCTGCTTGTGTTCTAACTTCCATGTGGACTGGGGAGGACCCTCAGAAGAAAAGCCAAATATAGGTAGTTCCTATATTTGGAACTACCAAATTCCTTCCAGTTGCTGCTGCCTTTTGATTTTTCTCCAATGCCTTCAAGTACTTGTTCTTTATGTTTTGCCCATTTTTTAAACTGTTATCGTACAAGCTATTCTACCACTATTTGGTTTTGGATTTTTAACTAAGAAATCAGAACCAAAATTCCTTTAAAAAAATAAATCCATGCCTCCTTTATGCTAACACTGTGAAATAACATAGCCTTGAATAACAATGGACTTTTTAAACATCAGCAGTTATAGTGTAGACTGAATCTAAAAGAACTGAAGTCCCAGAAAATAAATCATTTGGCAGATTTGTAGGTAAAATTTTACCAAGGCCAGAGAAGGGGAGTGTCACAGGATGGTGAAAAGAAAGAACTCAGTCTTAGACCCTCTCCTCACCTGGGCATTAATTTATCCAACACATTTACAGAGCATCTATGTCAGGTATTGTGAAAAGCACAGGGTATATAGAGATACGTGAAAAACAGTCTCCCTCATAAGCTTGAGTCTGATGATGAGGAAGAAGATAGACAATGAAGATGTAAAAACACAAATAACTAATTGCCAAATGTAAAGTGATACAAAGAAAGTAAATACAGTCATTAGAGAAAATAATGGAGGTTGGAAACAATTTTAATATAGTGGTAGGGGAATATCTTTCTGAGTAGGTCACATTTCAGCTGAATCCTTAAGCATGAGAATCAACTATTCAAGGAAAGTAGTTGGCGGGGGTGGGGGGAGGGGGTGCATACAGGGGGACCGATAGCACAAATGGGTCACAAAGAAAGTTAAAGACACTTACAGATGGAACTTCATGAAAAAGGGGTAAATGGTATGCAGTGTTGCTGAATAGGTAAACAGGGCCTATGAAGTGAGGAATTAAGTGCTATGGGAACACACTGCAGGGTTTTAAGCAAGAAGTAACATAATCTGGGCTGGCCAAGTGGTGCGATGGTTGGGAACTGGCTTGGGATGCCAGAGGGCCCCGGTTCGGATCCCACATATGAGGGCCAGTGACACTGCCCTCCACAGCTAGGAGCTGGACAGCAGCTCAACCTGGAGCTGGGCTGCCGTGAGTCGCTGGCGACGGCGTAGGCTGAAGCCCCTGTGGCAGTGGGTTGCCATGGGCTACCGTGTGTAGCTGGCAGCCAGCATGAGCGGCAAGCAGCCGCAGTGAGCGGTAGTCCAGAAGCC